AAGCTAATTAACTTTGGGTTACGGTTGAAGTTACTCTTAAATTAAGCAGATTACGATCGGCTAGACTCGTACTGGTTCTAAGTATAGAACGAAGGTCACCCACCTTAGCTTAGTTTCCTCTAAGCGAAAGAGCTACGAAGAACAAGAAGAAAAGAAGTCGTATGGAGGTTTCGTGAGAGTCGAGGGACGTTACAGTCGACAAAAGTACGGTGTGCGTCGCCAGATCATCCGTGTGAATGTGAAGCGTCCTGAAAATATCGACCGAGACCGTCTTCTTTGTAAACTAACACCACACGAAGATCTAAAAGGCATTGTAGGCATGTTCAGTTATGGAAGTTACCGAAGCGATGCTTGACGACGAAAAACGGTGCTTCTCAATACCCTCCCTGATTGTCTCGCGGAAGCAGACAAGAAGGTCGACAAAGTATGCAAGAAAGTCGTGAACGCCGACCTCATCACGAAGAAGGCGATCGAGTGTCCGCTCGCCTTCAACAGCGCGCTGTTGCTGAAGATAGCAGGCTACGGGGCTGAATTTAATGCTTTCGCAGTTGCACACACTCAATCGCGTGGTTTCAGCGACGCAGTTGGGTCAAGACTTCAGTTTCGCCACCAAGCGGAAAAAGGTGACGGGGGCAACTATTCCATCCAACCGCCTCGACATCTTCAAGAGGTGCGTCAAGAGGTGGAACACATCCAAGTCAATGCGAGAGCTGACCCGAGCAACCAAGGCTTTCAGAATGTTCGAGAAGGCATTGATGGTCAATGCGCCGACGATCTTTGTCAATGATCATTGGATTCAGAATCTCACGGGTCGGATCCCTGCGCACAACACGCGATTGCTGCACCTCTTCGTCTGCTACGTCGGATCTGCATGCAGCAATGGATTGACGTGCTATGGAAGGGTCACTTGCTCGACAACCTCGACGCGCTGCGCAATTTTGATGGCTACTACCCTGATGACTCGTCGGTGCTTCAGCTCCACGACGGGGATAACGGGGTGGTGATGGTCGCGGGCGACTGGACGACCCGTTGCTATACTTCCCGCATTGCCCACCTTGATATGGAGCGACGTTTGTGTCCTCACCGTGAACACTAATTGCATCAGAAAGACTGTTCACCTATTTTTTGAGAGCGTGCTTCCCACGAAGTCGGTGGCGTCCGTCCAAGAAACTAAGTTCGCAGACAGCACGCACTTCTCAACGCTCAAGCTCCACCTCGACTTGAGCTTTGAGCACGAGGTCTTCGTGAACGACCCAAACTCGCTGTTGGCTCGACCCACGAGAGGTGGGAGCGCTGGAGTGCTCACGATGCTTTGCTCCGACAACCCTGGCTTCAACTCGGCGATTGAATCACCACATTGATCGGTCGCAGATCGCTACCTTATCGTGAAGGTGATGATTGAGAATGCTCACATCTACATTCACGATGTGTACGCGCTTGGGGACGACAGGAAAGGCAACAATTCTTCGAAAATATCGAGACTGAAGGGCTCGAGATCAAGCGACGCACTTTGCGTTGGGCGACCTCAACACTCCTCTCGACCCTCGACTCTACCTGGCTTAAGATATGGCATGAGTCGATCCAGCTGTCTTGAGTGACTGCCGAAGCTGAATATCGTCCATGCATGGTGGATCCACTTCAACACAAAGCGTGTTTTTACCGGTCTGCTTCCCCGGAAAAACCGGCTAGACAACATCCTGCCGTTTGGACGTTCTAGAACCGCTTCTACAGCGACTCGAAGTACTTCCTACCAAAGACACGCTGGCGACCACCTCGCTCACTTGGTAATCTTTTAGTCGGGTAAGCAGCTGCATAATCAAGGTTGCTTGAAGATTTCGCGGTACCTTCTCAATCACCCGAAAGTTGTGTCTGCGATCGAGAATAAAGCCGAGCTGATTCGCGATCAGCTGCGTGCCGCTGAGGACCACGGCAGGATGTTGGAGAAATGGAAAATGAGCATCAAGTCACAGTTGCAAGATGTGCGCAAGAAGCGTCGGATGCAAGACACCCAAGCTGTTGAGGACGCCTGCACCGCAATCAACCATGCTGCTGCTCGATATCGTACAACTTATTGCGATTCAATCGCGAGAAACTGCACGGAAACCGTCACGCTGGTGAATCCATACAACCTCAACACCGCGTTTGACTTCCAAGCGGCTTTCACCGAGAAGGTCATCAAGTACTTCTTCCGTCTGCTGGACACGAGTCTGCGTCGAGTCTCGATCGAGGAATTCGTGACATCAAGTGGATATATCTCGACGAATCCTGGGGGATCTCACTTCGCTTCTTGGAACACTGGGGGTCCGAGATTGGAGATCCCAACAGTCCAGCAGGAGAAGCTCCCTCGCCTGACAAATTTAGCAGGGTAAGCCTCTCGACTTGATCGTCTGCTTTGTCCCCGAAGTCGATCGTGCGTAACCACGCACCAATCACAGATGCTGACCTTGCTAATGCGATTCGTCACATGATAAGAGCATCTTCGCCTGGCATGGAAGGGCTGATCGGGCCGCTCCGGATGTATTCGGCGAGTGATTAGGCATCGTTCAACGACCAGCTTCACCGTGGATTTCTGCTTCCATCTCAGCGCAAGTCTGACGTGGTGCTTCTGTACAAAAAGGGAGGGCTGAACTAGGCAACTGCCGACCGATCGCACTCATTCAGGTCGATGTGAAGGCGACCGCACACTCCCATCGCAGCACCAGTGGCAGGTGTTCGAGCTGGTATCACCGCTCTTCGTTGAGCATCCAACTTGGCTCGACATTGCTCTGACCAAGAAGATGTGTGTACGCGACGACTGGAAATCTTGCGAAGATGTTGTCGGCGATGTGTGGCACGTTCTCGGCGTGGTTACACTTTACTTTTTTTAGTCCGACCGCAATCAATGTCTGTTCGACGGACGACAACCGACACCGGCGCTCGCAGCGATTTTGGATGATCTTTACAACTTATTCGATCACATTCGGTATCATAAACGACCGCTACTCATGGTGGACGCAGTTGGACGAATGTTCAAGGTGTTACAGAATTTGATGACTCACCTGGCCTTCGATGAGTTTGTCAAACGCTTTTCAGGTATCATTTATGTGCAGGAACCAGCATAAAATTTTAATTTTCAAGAATCGCACTGCGGTAAACAGGGGGGGTCTGGACTGTATTTGTATGGGATCTTTCAGCCACGCATTACTTTCGAAGTTTCCTGCTCCTGCTCAAGCGACCCCAGCACATCAAGATGGCACCCCAGCACCTCGCCACCTTCCAGACCAAATTGTCCCGAGCCACTCATGCCGCTCAGAAGTCTGGCTCCACTGTATTGTCTCCGGCTGCACCCGAAAGGGGACGGGGGGGGCATGAGAGCTCGACTGATGGTCCGCTTAAGGACAGTGAGGGATAAGTGATGGTGTTTTGTGGAAGCATAGCGACGCACCCACACCTGACCAGCACAACCGTCGCAGCAGACGCTATCACAACACTTTTATCATGGATGCATCTGGCTAGCCACCGTGAAAACGATATTTGCAGCGACGGAAGCACGGATGACAACAAAGACAGCTCCAAGCTTCTCAAGTGTGTTCAATTTGACCGCTCGCATGGAATAGTGTGTACACCAATCGCATGCAATAGAGTGAGGGTGAGTGAGTAATTGTTTGGGGTTCACCAAGGCTCCCCACCAGGAGTCACGTCTCCCGACCGACCTTTTGATCTTTGATCAATAAATTCAAGATGATGTATGCATAACTTCTTCTATTCACGTATCATTAGATGGTATATCAGAATTGATATTGTATAGTGTATATTATTAGCTTAGAAGTCATCACGTCTATTGCAGCGGGGCTGCCGTAGCTTTGCGCTTAGAGGAAGCGTAATTTGGGTCACCGACCTTACGTTTTTCACAAGAACCAGTACGAGTGTAGCGGATCGCAATCCGCTACCTCCAAGAGTAATTAGAACCTCAACCCAAGGCTAATAGACTCTTCTGTTTAAAATGTAAACTTTATTTATTTGTTTTATCTACGGCGAAGCCGCCTAATTTTGAATGTATGAATTTTCCCTAATATACATAGTAAAATCTAAATACATGCATAACTTAGCCACGTATAGTACTCTTATTTGGGTGCAGTCACACCATGCCCATCTCGTGTGACACACACCCTTGTTACTAGGGTACGTGTAACCCCATTACATATATATTCAGACAAACTTTTAACTGTATATTATCTTTCACAGGTCCACTGTGGACGTAGGTTAATGAAAATATTAATGTATCCTATCCATCATGGCCTTGAACAACTCCGATCTTGAAATATAAGCTTTCTTTGGGTCAGTATCAAGGCTGGACAAACTTTTGCCAATGACTAGCATCAACCAAGCCACCATGTGGTTGTACAGCCACCGCGATTGTTTTCGGGCCAATTGCTGACGCAAATTGAACTGACCGTTATCAATTTCACTATGATGCAACACAAATGATACGACGCGCATCTCTTCAAGCTCTTTGCCATCTCAGTGTTTCTACATAAGGTGAGTAGATAGAACTAGCGACGCTATCATAGTATAATGGCTACAAAACCACTTTGTTCAGCAAATGAAACGATCACTGAGACGGCATTGACCTATAATAAACAAGTCAGCGTGAATGCACCTCAAGTTTGTATACATCGCTCAAAGAAATAAATGGTATGCACCGAAGAGGTTTCGTGCCGTACAAGTTGTTTGACATGTAGACGAGCTATTTAGAAACGACCAACAACGATTGAGATAAATAAAACTTGCCCAAAGAATGGTAAATGTTCATGTTCAAGTCCTCCCAAATTCCACGAAATACCACCATACTTCACCAGAGCTATGCAAATTACTACCATACTTCACCAGAGTGTTCAAGCCTTTGAATACTTAGTGTTCTGAATCCATTGCAAGGTCTCCTGGTCGACATTGTTTCGCAGCACCGTCGAGCCATCGTTGATATTAAAGTTAAAGGCCGGGCGTGACTGAAAGTAATTGTATCATTGCAGAAAGACGAATTTGTCCGTTTCAGTCGCTTGGTGTGAACGAAATTGGCTATACTGGTCAGGAATGAACTTTGCCGCCTTCAAAGCTTCTTCGCTAGTTCTAGGGTCGGAAAACATGTGCTTCAGCAGACGATCCACAAGAGTTGTGAATGTCGAGATTTCTCGAATTGATAAAAACAATTTTACCCATTCTTGAGTTGATTGTTCGAGTCCTAATGCATCGAACAGCTGCATGTCCGAAAAATCTGGATGTTTTGCGATAGAAGAGGTGACAATGAGCCACACTAATAAAGTGGTGTCATCTCTTTTTATTATGTCGGTCTTCTTGGCTTCGTGAATGGTTATCTGCGGAGAAGAGGTAGTGCTTGACTCAATTTTGTCCGAAATTGTCGCAGATCTAACATTAGTGACTTGCGGGATAATTGCAATACTTGGCTCCACTCTCATTAGCAATGTGTCGCCAAATTTAGGCGAATGCTTTAAACATTCGATCAGGTCAGCAGGATTTTTGGAATAAAGTAGCCATTGCTTCACGATATATGGCACCTTGAATGTCTCCAGCAGTTCTTGTGTGTTCTTTTTGATATCGGGGCTTTTCGCATCATCAAGCATCACGACAAACTTTTCCGACAAAAGCAGCTCATTCACAGCTGCATCTGATGTCATTGGAATGAGCACTTTAGAATACACGATGAAGCTGTTAGGCATTTGAATATCCCGTGGATTTACTTTCTCACTGTAGCAGTACACTTTGACGTATTTAAGCCAAGCGAGAAAGAGGAAAATGTTGGATTGAAGCTGACGAAGCTCGTTCACAAGATCCAGGATGCCGAAGAAGTCAAACGGCGACACGTCTGAAAATGCTTCGAAGACCATTTGCTCGGTCACAGGATTTACAGTCAAGTACTTTATCATGTCCTCAGTGATGCCCTTCAGATGCGAATCGGGTTGTTTCTCTCTAAAGAAGTTCACCACGATTCGACGCGAGTTATCTAAAGAGGGACTGGATGAAAGCGGTTGCGTTTTTTTCATCTCCTCCTCTAATTCATTAACCAAAAAATCAAACAGCTCTTCACTGCCAAATGCGGGTTTTTTGTCCTCGACTCCTCTATACAAAATAATGAACTCAAACCAACGATTGAAGATGGTGCCGAATTGGAACAATCCAAAAGCGTCAGTTTTAGTTTGGATGCCTAGGACAACGTAAAGTTGTTTTGGGCTTACGCCAGATCGAACAAATGACTCAAGTATCTTCTTGTAATCTTGTCCCGTGGAGACGAGTTGAGTCAGCCTCTTTCTTGCGAAATCACTAACGTGCGAGTATTCATTAAGCCAGTAATACAGCGGCCCCAATTCCTCAGACGACCGCCCTTTCTCCATCAACTTGAAAAAATCATTATAGCTTAAGCGTCCTCCGTCGTCACAATACAACTTCAGGCGATCAAGCCACGTGACAAATTCCTCGGTTCCTGCCACGCGCTTTTCCACATCTATTTTTTCGAAGGAACGCTTCGGGCGCCAAGACCAGAAGTTAAGAAATTCATACCAGGGCCATCTTTCTTCCTCGTTCGTGGCTGAAAAGTTGGACTTGTCATTTCCGGAGACCACATAACGCTTTGACGCCTGTCGTGAATTGACATGGCTCGTATTTGCAGGTCCGCCATGGTACTCAGGACTAGGTGTGCGCGGGACTTCATATCCTACTCCACTCGAATTGAACGCAATACAAACGCCGACTCCGATATGGCAAATTGCGAATAAAGCGTACTCCCGCATGTTTAATAAATCAGGGAATTGGATTATGCTTTCACTGATGCAGCTAGCCATATTTTCTGGTGTAGAAAGGCGAAGAATGTCTGACTGGTAGGTAGACAATGGATTTGCTGGACGAAGTACACAACCATATCTAATTGGATGACAGAGACATTTGTAGGAAAGAGACACTAACTTGACTATGAAATAGAATCAATTCCATTGTTTCTGCTTCGATGCATACTTATACTTGGACATACACCGCCTAAATTCCAATTGCAGCGGTATAACGGACTTGACTTTGCGTCGAAGACGCTATTCGAAAGCCAGTTGCGTACTGCATCTTCAATCAGCCAACAAACCTTTGGCCTCTAAGCTGGGGCTCCGATCACAGGTGTGACGCTTTACTGTATGCATCACATTTCTTTACCAAGCAGTTATGCAGCTGCAGCAGCCTGATTACTTTTTTTCCATAAAGTTAAAGCATTTGTCTCAGGGTCATTATCATCATAATTGAGCTGTTGGCTACAAAAAGAGCGCAGTTAAATCTGACCCATCTCTCGCATACCTGATTCGTGCATATAAAAATATCACCAGAAATTTTTATTTACGCACGCGACGCGATACAAACGTTGGATACTTTTGGAAGAGTGACTGCCTCAAAGCTGATCGAAGTTATATATCGTCGCAAACTTGGACCTCGCATTGCCAACATGTGCTCGCTTTACTCGCCCTTGTATTCTTTGTAATTTGCCTGGTCTGCTTACCTGACATTATCTTCACTTTAAATAAGACACTCAACACATTTATCTCATTTCTGCATCTAGCGCACATTGTCGAAGCCTACAGCTTTGTGTTTTTCGTATTTTGGTTAGAAAATACACTGCGACAGGTTTGCCTGAAATACGAAGTAGAAGGAAGAGTACGGTGTAGAATAGACTGAGAAGGAAAAGTATATTATCCTTGACAGGTCTACTTTGGACGTAAGTTGAAAATTTCATATATTCTATCCATCATGGCCTCCGATCTTAAGAACAAGTGTTGTTAGGATCAGTATATTAGCTTGTATAGCCGTATCCAGATCATTACATATATAGTCAGTTCTTGAGCGTATGGGTGAATGATACATCAATACAATTAAGCAAAATTTGCATTTTCACTTTTATGTAGTTGTGAATATTCCGAATAGCCTTCAGATAGAGAGGTCCTTGTTACACGTGGTCACGTCAGACAATAATCATGTTCTCATTTTTGGATAAAGTAAAGGTATTTGTTCACTTAGAATTAATCCGCATTATATATCACTCTTGCAATATATGAGCAAACAGATATTCTAGTAGCAGAGAAACTTATAGGTCCGCTCTTGAGGTGGAGCGAACAGACCCATCTTCCGCGCGTTCATTACCGCAACCTTCACCAGTCAGAAGTTCTCTGTGCAAGGTGCACGGCAACCCAATGCACTTCGTAGCGCTTGTAGTCAATATCAAAACCGAGTCGTAATGCGGTTGTATTCTCTGAAACAAAGGAACACGAATTCTTTGATCGCCGGCCCCCTGGTAACCATAGTGCTGATCTCAAGGGTATCAAGGAATGAGCGGCCAAAGGGTCAATATGTCGGTGTTTCGCTAATACCCGAAGTAAATATTTATAAGGTCCTTAGTTCGCTACGCTGTCTATGTATGTAACCTAATTATATTGACCAACGTACACCTGCCACTATGTCCGTAATCATATCTATCTCACGGTACGTATGACCAATTTTTCTTGTGATTTCTTCGCTTGTCCCGTACAGAACAGAGTGCCTGGAAGCGTTGATCAAATACGAGAATGTGCTGGTGAGACGCTTCCAGAAACGCCCCGACCGGGCGTACCCAGCGCAAGGCCATTTATGTTGAGGATCCAGCTCTTTAAGAACAGGGATAAAGAAGCTTTTCTCTGAATGAGATAAGTTGAGATGGCCATGTAGCCTCCAGGATAGGATGTCATATGCAACGATATGCACCAACGTGCTTTTCTCGGTAAAAGGTTTACTGGGACGAAATTAAAATACAGATGTCGCAACTCCAACCTAGCATATCGGACGCGCTCAGAATCCTGTCCACCCACCACAAGTGGTGAGAACTGGAGAAATATGTTCAAAAGTTGCGAACGCTCACTGAATTTGGTCATAAACTTTATGGGGGGATCTTCAGCGTTTGCAACCGGGCTGCCGTGTACTGTGTATAGAGTAACTTTGACCAATAGTCCCCGTTTATAAGCGTACAGAGACTGGGAGCAGGACCGATAGCTTCCACTGTAACTGTATCTAGTTGAAGCTGCAAAATTTAAGAGTACATGTATTTATGATAAAACTTTCGGTTTACTATCTTAACAATGTTACATTTTCACTTCCGACGTGCGGGTAGCAGCTCACGTATAACACGAAACAATGATACCGATACTTCAATTTTTATGACAATTACATCAATGTGTTATGTGAGTTTGTATAATTTTACAATATTTATTTAATATAACGGTAAGAAAGTGCAAGGTGAAATTACAAAAGATAATAGTACTTGCCGTGTTACACCCCCCCCCTCGCTAAAATGTGATTTACACTGAGAATCAAGCCTCTTTTTCCTTTCTAATAAACTATGCAAAGTGATCGCTCCACGTGAACCACCAATCCTGGAGTCTATATTTACCCTTTGCACCTTATCGTTCCTGCTCAATGCACGTAACTGCAAATGAAGTCTCCGCTTGTAATCCTGTCGAATGGCTCAGAGAAGCCCTAGATACGGCGCAGTTCCTCGCTAAAATTGACTCACGGTGTGGTGGTTTTCGATAAGAACAGTCGTAGTGACACTCCGAGTATTGATCAGATATGTTTGCCCTTATTTGACGACATAAAACCTAGCCGTACCTCATGAACAAGGCGCTCGCCTCCCCGCTGCTTGAGTCTCGTTTCTGGACCCTTTTGTTTGGCGTGAAATGTTGTGACGCCCCGCAGTGAAACTCACGACTCGTTGCTTACTCAAGAAGTCCACATCGTTATACCGCAAGCGATGGAGAGACACCGACTCTTACATAAATCGTCACAGTGTGTTTACGTTTTCGAAATGGCTTGCTGCGCAGTTTTTACACGCCTATGCGAGCAAACCTTCCGTTCACACCATGAATAAAACTAATGTTTCTCATCACACAGTCATCAATTCTCCGACAAACCGCCTGGGCTTGGGGCAGCAGTAGTTGGGCAAACGCGTACTTTCTATGAAAAATATAGCTTGAATTCTTGAAGCGGGTGAGAGTGCCGATGAGTATCGATTTCAGCTCGCGCTTTGGGTGGGTAAAAACGTTGTCGCATTCAACTGAAAGCGCCATCAGCAGCACCCATGAAGCGGAGGTCCGTCATAGCTCAAAGCACGACTTGGACGTCGAGGTGACAACTAATCACGTTAACAGTCCCGCTCGTCTCTATGAGACAAATGTACCATGCTAGCGACTAAGGGCCTTTCAATGCAAGTTTGGTCACCTCCCACCAATGAGAAGCGCGCTTTGATGAACGACCCTGCTTTTTAGCGGAGGTAAAGGCTGAAGATGCGATATATCATAAGTGGCTACAGTAAAACAGTAACTCTGCCAGAGTGAAGCCCGGACTTTCTTGCGTTTTACGAGAGCACCGCTTAAACTTTACCAGATACTGGTAATAGCCCTGGGGTACCGCAGGCTTACCAAACATTCAACGCAAAAGTAGACCATCCCTTAGTCATTGATTATTGCCCGCGGTGGTCAGACCTTGACCGCTGGCTCTTGTCAGCGATCTCGGTTGTGGCCAGCGTTGACTCTCTCTGTGGTCACATCACGCGTTCCAGCTGAGATGAGTCAGCTCTCGAGTTTTTTCTCTGAGCTTTGTCAACGCGCCGCCTGGCTTGAGGCACCACGAACACTTCATAACTGCGTCGCTGCTTTAGAGCAGAGGGTAGCTCAGCTGCAAGAATGGTATGGACAGCGCTTGTTTGCAACAGAGCTCTTCAAGTACAATTGGAACGAAGCGCGGCATCATGGTATGGCTTCAACAAGCCACTAGGGATATTTAGCTTGTAACCCAATTTCATTGTCGCTATACCCGTAAACGGTCTGATGTAGCGTGGATTTATTGACAGCAGCCACTGCCTGTGTGGATAGTTTGAATGCATAGAATAAAGCTTTTGCATCACAACATATTCGTGTGTTTCTCCTTCTTCTGGCATCTTCGTTTTGTTTTTGGTTATGTTGTCGGTCACCAAGCGACATGCGCAACATGCGCGACTCTATGCTGCGCATGACGCTCAATCTCATCAATATATAATCACTGATTTTGCCACGAAGTGTAGCCGGGCTGATTTAAGCAAGTCGACAATGATCGACAGCCTCTTCTTCATTGAAACCAAAAACATTTCGCGGTGGTGTCAATGGCGCGCGGAAATCACTAAATCAATAATGTAAAACGGAAATAACCTGCAGATGTATGTACTGCCTTATTCAGCGCAACCTCAACGAGTGGAGGCAACTCACTCCAGCTCCGCTGTCTCTTCGCGCAAGTGATTCAATGAAATTCATACAGAACGCAATGCACGCGTTGCGTGTCTGACCATCTGTTTTGGATGGTAAGCAGCTGGCATATCCAATTTGGTGCCGGTCGCCTCGTAAGGCATCCTTGAAGCTGCCACAAAAGATTCTTACAAATGGTGAGGGCTTTCCGGCAAGCATATATCTGATGCGGTCAGTTGAATATGCTCACAAATTCAGCCAAATACAGGAGCCTAATAAGTGTGCCTAGATTTGGTCCGAGAGTATATAGCGATCATCTATTCTATAACCTGACAGAGGACAAACTTGATACTTGCATAGTTTTTTCTTCGATTTCACGAGCGATGTTACAATGACTAAGGTGATCTATGTCTGAATAAATCTATTTTACCATCTACCATGGCAGATCTCCATGTTCAGCTGTTCAGCATGGTGTTAGGCTGGAAGTCCACGGTTTCTCCCACCCGGAGTCCCATCTTGTAATGATACTTCATCTAGTACTATACTTTGATATTTCAAGCTTTACGTATACCGTTAAAGATAGTAGTGACAATAGTGTCACATGTGCGCATTCCATGATACCGTATGTGCCCATTTGGAGCTGATAAAATAAGAAGATTAATAGTTGTGTTAGTTGCGTGTATGGTACATATTCATTACATGAAGAAGTGGATGGGATGAGTGACGTCACTAATAAGAAACACAACTTTCCGCCGAACATGACGTGGGATGCTCAAGTTGCTGGTAACGGTATCGCTTAAGACTCGCAGCATGATCTGAGAATTGTTACAGCGGGGCTGTCGTAGCTCTTTGCTTAGAGGAAGCTAAGCTAAGGTCACCGACAATACGTTCGATACTGGTACTAGTTTGAGTGTTGCGAATTGCAATCCGCTACCTCAATTAGTACCCGAAACCTTGGCCCAAAGTAAATGCACTCTTCCGTTTGAGATTATAACAGTATTTATCTGTTTTATTTTTGGCAGAGCCGTCTTAAGCTAAATCTGTAGGTGTTCCTAATTTATGCATAACTACTGGCAGTCCCGCCACGTAGTGGGTTCTTGTTACGGTGTAGCCACACCATTGTGTGAGTACACCCTCTTGTGAAATACAATTTTTTGTACGGCCACACCATCTTGTGTGACCCACCCTTTCATACCAGGGTACGTGTAACCCCGTTACACCGCATCCATTAAAATTGTGAATACCCACAATTCACTGTTCCCTCGTACTCACGTGTCTAGGACACCGATACGTCCCCATGGCCTTCTTCTCACATTATCTGCTCAATGAGCCTTGTGTCTATGACACGAAACATACCCAGTCTCGCTGGTTCCGAGAGCGCCCGCGGGCAGAGCCCTTCTTCGTCTCTTGCATGCGGTGTAACCCCGGACAGTACGTCCGCGGCTTCACGGGAAGCACATCCTCAGCCCTCAGCAGCCGGGCGCGGCACACCGCGCCGGGCACGGGCGACAGACCTTTTCGTCGAGGACGCGGAAGAATTCGACTACGAGTCGGATACTCTTTTTCCAGGATAGGAAGAAGAGGAGGGCGAGGTGCGCCAACGGCGCGACGTGAGCCCTGCTCCAACCTTGTGGACACCGTATCCGTTTCCTGACCTCTCGACTTTCGAGGGAAGTAGTATTATTACCAATCACCTCGACAAGGCACAAAAGCGGCAGTTGAAGGCGGCTCTCATGCGCTCGCATCCACGGTCGGTCCTAGGCCCTCGTGTGGAATACGGCTTCCGCTCGGCAGATCCCGCTAAGAAGCAAAAAACGCGATCACTCGATCGTTAGACGTCTATGTAGTGGGCCTCCGGCCACTACACAAGCCGAGCTTGACCAAAAGGGCTCTCTGAGCTCGCTTCTTGGACCTCAAAAACTTCTCATGGATTGGTACCGCGTTCGACTTTGCCCTGAAAGAGGAGGTGCTCCTGTACCCGCTTTTCGGACCATTCCCGTGGTGCTCGCCCCTGGCGAAATCGCTACAGATGATGAGAAGCTCTTTGACGGATGGGTGCAGCGGCACCGGAAATTTTCCTCGCTGTCAGATATTCAGCGGAGGCACAAGGAAGTGGACGTGCGCGTAGAACGCCATCTTCGGTTCGATTTTGCCAAACTCAAGGGAATGGTGGCTTCCTTTCGATTGTCGCCCTGCAACTTATGGATTTATCCATCACGCTCCCGCGAGCTCTGTGGTTTCTCATACGGGACCACGGCAGCTCATGAATCTTCGGCTTCTCGGGATCCTGCTGAGAAGAGCGGGGCGTACAACGACGCGGAGCGTCATGATCCCTCTGATCATAGGTGTCTACGACGTCTGGGCAGTCGTGAGAGTTTGAGAAGCCACTTCAGCAACAATTCTCGGGGTTAGGGTATCCCAGTCACATCACAAGATAGTGAGTTTGACCCTGTCGACGCCGTCGACCCACAAGAGGTTTCAAGTGATAGTGAAATTCGTTCTCGTCGAGAATAGTCGGTGGCGGACGATGACGACTTGGTCGATCGCCATCCGGTGACTCGTGATGCTCTTCGAGCTCTTGAGGACAACGTTCGTCGTCATCGGCACTTCGCAGAGCATCTTGCCGAGGCTGTGCGAATAACCTCGAGAGCTTGGACCCTTTTGTGCAGCAACTACCTCACGTTGAGAACTATTGCGATCTGTCAGAGCGGATCTTAGCCGTCGAGCAGACGAATGCGTTACTTCGTGCGACGGTGGAGTGCCTGGCGCCGTTTGAAACGGAAATCGTTGCTCTCCGTGCTCAAAGCCAGTTGCTGGTTCAGCTTCTGGGTGGCTGAGCGCCTTTAGACACCGGATCCCGGTACGGCTTAAGTAAGCCCACCTAAAACACCGGGTGGGTGCGCATTCTTCTTGGAAAGTTTAGCGTATACGCAAGGCCTCGCTTGGCCAAGTACTCAAAATTTCAATAAACCTATGACGGAGACTAGTCTTAAAGACAGCGGAACCTGCATGTGAAGGGAGATTTATGCATTTAACATAACCAGGTCTCCGACCTTAAAGTTTTCAACATATTTTCTGCCTCTGCTGTCTGCATTTCCTTTCTGCATGTACGACACTCAGTCTGGTAGACAGAAAGCCATCGATTTATTAACGCACAGTGAGAGGGCTGACATCAGCTAGCCGCTCGGCAACTTTTCCCCCACCAAGCCTTGAGCCATGGTATGGCAGCGTCAGCGGAACGCGAGAATGAACAAGCCCGTTCACGTAGAACGGAGTGTAGCCGGTAGACGCATGCACTGCATCGTTCCGAGTAAACTCCACAAGTTGCAGCATAGGGCTCCAGCGGCTCGGCGTCTCACTGGGTGCTGGACTGCCAGCACCCAGTGGTAACTGGTAAGCTGGCCACCGGCGCAGCCGCATTTGGAGCGGGTTTCACCCGTTGACACGTCTCACACGTGCGCACA